TTAGAAGCGTTATTTCCTGTTTTGAAAGTTGCACCGAAGCTCATTGAGGGCAGGAGTAAATCGGGATGCTCGGCACACCTCAGTGCAAAAAAAAATAGTTGGTTTTTTAAATTAATTTATACATATATGCCCACGTAGATGTCAATAACGCACAAACGTGTGCACCTTATCGTTATTGTGTGACTCGGCTTTCCAGATTATCATCCTTCTTTTCATTCCTTTATCCATTACTTATTATGTTGTATGATTTGCTCCAAAGTGAGTGCATCTGTGAGAACCTTTGTATTCTGAACAAATATTGAAATGGTTCCAAAAACAAAGTTCCTAAAGAAGTTTCTGTCGTGGTAGCCGTCCCGATTAAGCACGTCCTCTTTCACTGCAAATGCATGCTCTGCTCTGAAGAACAAGGAACTAGGATTCTTCCCCACTCAGATTTGTTTTCCTATGTTCAAGAGTAGTTGTTAGTCGTATCTGTTTCTAACTAACAATTCCCCTCCTCCTATTAGTAGCCCATATGACAATCAATTCTCTAGCAGGCGGAGCGATCTTTCGGCGACATCTCAATCACTATGTTAACGACACCCATGGTCAACATGCTCAATGTCATCAGTATTTGTTTGAATACGCTCACACATTCGCAAATACCCGATCGGTCATAAAATACACGGCGTGACAGGGATGGTGTATATTTTGAATGCTCACCTATTCCCAGCTGACTTCCTCAGAACTGTTATTCTCCATGCCTACCCTTGAAACGCTTTCCTTTACAGTTTTTCATAGAAATTGCTCAAAAGAGGGGTCTAGTCAATGTTGCGAAGGTGGTCTGGCGAGAAAGGCATTGGGATAAGCAATGAAGCAATGTAGCGATAAGAAAGCCTCGCTAGAATTCTTGGTCGGTTACACTTTCTCGCTCAGGCGTAGGACTTCATATGGGTTAATCGGGAGAATGGTGACCGTAGCAATGTTAAAAATCTAAAAGCGTAATTAAATCTCACGTTTGAAATTGTGACACTCTTGTTTTCTCTGTTCGTTGATGGTGAAGCCAGTTCCGTTGTTTTGGGGTAGGAGCTTGTATTTACCGTTAGTTAGGAACGTTGTTTATCGTCTGATTGATCTTGACAAGAAATTGAAGTAGTTTTACTTCCATGAATTCATCCAAGCGATGTTAGGGTTATGGTTAGTAAACTGAGCTCTCTGGAGAGCAAGAAAGTCGAGAATTCGCTTGAATTGTGAAGCAAGCCCCAGTGAAACTCGTCCAAATGTTGATAGCACTTCATTTAATTATAAAAAATGCTGCCTTTAAGGGTTTTGGAGGAATCACTTCAAATTTCCTTATGATTTTTCGAAGATTACAAAGGACAGCCCTCATTACAAAGGACTGATAGACAGCCCTCATTACAAAGGACTGATGTGGATTGAAAATTATTGCTGGTTGACAACAAGAGAAAAATTTATTGTCATTAGAGCAAATTATATCCATGCAAAATATGAATCTACCAAAAAAAATATCCGATCAGAGATTACATCTGAAAAAAAGGAAAAAGAACAAAATCGTTTGATTGCGCCTAGGTTTTCAGTTTCTGTTGAATGATTTTTACTGTCTTGCCTACCATGCCGGTCCCATGATCGTTCAGAATAAGAACAACTTCAAGGGCTAGTTCACGAAAAAATGGTCTCCAACATCTTCAACTGGACGAAACTGTGGCCTCCAAGTATGCCAGACTGGGTCAAAAACGGTTAGGGAGCAATAACGGCTTTGAAGCCCATTTCTCTGTACACAACCTTTAGTGGACGAGTTTTAACGGCGTAGAAAAGGCTGTACTATCCCCGAAAGGCACCATGTTAAGAATTAAGCAATTGTGTGACTCGAAGTGACATTGGAGGATATTTTAGCCGTTCCTGGCTGGATTGAAATCTTGACCGAATATCCCTCCCATGCCGTTTCCATCATGTTGATCTCACACAGCCCTACCTCCTCGACTTAGAAATACCCATATATTTGGCGAATGCGGATTTTCATGCTTTCTCCGCTACCGATGCCAACTTCTGCTCCAATGCTTCCACTTCCTGGTTCAGAAAGTTACTGTACTGTATTGTTTCGGCTACTACTTCAATTATCAACACTTTTAGCTACGAGTATTCTCATTTCATCGCTTATCATTGGCCACTATCACATCTCTTGCAGTATCAAACAATTCTATGACAATGCTCAATATGTAGAGCTAATGCTTAACTTTTTTTGTGTTTTTTGTTCTTCCTCAATGGCACACTCTTGTTGCGTAATAAATAAATAAATAAAAGAATAAATAAAGGCAATTATTTTCGCCTTTTCCAGAAAGTGGATTTCCCCTTGAGTTCCCCGCTTTATGAAAAGGTGTGTTCTGACGTTGACCACCATTTGAAAAAGTTTGTTGCCAGTTACGAGCGTCATCTTGAGAGGACTGTTTCATTGCGGCGATTGCACCTTTACCTTCGCAACAAACTCAAACCCAAACCATCTCTCCCTATTTTGAAAGATCAGGCTGGGTCAAGGCTTTATAATAACTCTGCTAAGGCTGAAGCCCTGGGTCGATATTTCGCTAGTGTCTTCTTGGATTCGACTACTGCTGATGGCGAAGTGGAAAACAGCTTGAAATATGTCCACCGTAATTTACCCGATATCTACTTTCACCCTACTGATGTTCGTTTGGTGATGAAAAGTTTGAAGCCTTCAACTAGTGAGCCCTTCGATGGCATACCTCAGATCATCTTCAAGAAATGCTGTGGATCACTATGTTACCCACTTTCCTTCTTGTTCAACATCTCTTTCCTTCTGGGGCAGGTCCCCTACCTTTGGAAGAAAGCTATAATCACTGCCATCCCCAAACAACCTGGAGCGGCTTGTGTGGCTGATTTCAGGCCTATCAGTATTACCCCCACACCTGCCAAAGTCATGGAGAAAATTATGTTTAGGAAGTTACTAGGGTGGTTTCAGAAATTTCACCTCGTCCCAGCAGAGCAGCACGGCTTCCTACCCGGAGCTTCTGCTTGTACTAACTTGCTTGATACCTTCTATGATGTTTGCTGGGCTATAAATCGAGGGAAGTCTGTGGACATCATTCATCTGGACCTTTCAAAGGCTTTCGATAAAGTCTGTTATCCCCAACTCATTAAAAAACTGGAGCACTACGGAATTCGGGGTAATGCTTTGGACTGGATCAAGTCGTACCTTAGTGACAGGAGCATAACAGTGCGAGTTGGTACTAGTTACTCTACTGAATACATCTGTACTAGCGGTGTTCCCCAAGGTGGAGTACTATCACCTTTACTGTTCCTGATTTACACCACGGAGCTACCACAAATACTCAAAACATGCAGCGATGTACGCGTACAAGTATACGCAGATGACATTAAACTTTATGATTCGTATGAATATTCAAATAGAGCAGTTATACAAA